AATACTGGCACTTGCAGTTAAAAACATTCTAAATAACAGACTTATTTTTATATGCCTTTTGATTAGGGGTATAGAATCTAAAGACCATCTCGATGCTGGCAAAGCTTCTATCTTTATATTCTCTAGCTCTGAGTGGTGAGTTCATCCCCAAACACTCTTTTGGGGAAGCATCCCTGCCTGCCAGTCCTTTCAGTTGTGTCCAATTCTTCGTGACTCCATTTGGGGTTTTCTTGGCAAAGATACTGGAATGGTTTGCCATTTCTTTCTCCAGCTCATTTTACAGCTGAGGAAACTGAGGTGAATAGGATTAAATGACTTGCCCAGGGTCACATGGCTAGTGTCTGAGGCCAGATTTGAACTCAGAAACATGAGTCTTCCTGTCTCCAGTCCTGGCACTCTATTCACTGTATCACCTAGCTGCCCCTATGCCTGTCATGCTCATGTTTGGTCAGTCCATGATTTCCAGACTCCTAGTGCTTAGCACAGGGCCTAGCACGTAATAAATGTTTAATAAGTGTTTTATCATGACAGGTAGATGGTACAGTAGATAAAATGCTGGGACTGGGTTGGGGTACATTTGAATTCATATTTGGCCTCAGACCCTTATTGGCTGTCCACTCTGGGCAAGTCACTTAGCCACTGCCTGCTCAGTTTTCTCATGTGTAAAATGGGGATAATAATAGCATCTTCTTCCTAGGGTTGTTGTGAGAATAATATTAGGTAATATTCATAAGGCCCTTTATAAATGCTAGTTATTATTACAGATAGGTCCCAACTAGTGTGAATAATGAATTCTGTAAAATGATCACATTTGAATTTGCACTGCACATTTCCATATATATAAGGCAAATGGAAAGTAATCTCAGAGGGAAGGGTGTATGTATAGGGGGATGGGGCAGGAAAGGCTCTTACAGAAAGTGAGATTTATGGAAGGAAGCCATAGGTATATAAAAATAGTGATTGAAATGACCATATTGTTAATTTAAAACATTTTTTTCATTACATTTGTTAAATACCCATTGTATACAATACAGAGCATTAGGACACATATCAACCCAGATATGTTAAAATGTTAAAATTCCTCAAGGGCTCCTATGAGACTGACCATTATCAGGGATATAGGTGACAGTGGAACTTGGATAAAATTTGGGGAATTAGGAATGGGAGAGAGCCGTGTGGTGGGTGTAAACTGGAGGTCATAAACCAAGCAAGCACTAAGAATCCCAGGCAAGCTCAGAAATCAGAGGTCAAGATGAGGCAATAGGTCAGAAATAAGGCAAACCATGAAGCCAGCAACACACAACCCCCATCAAGTATGTTAGCACAGCTGAGCCTTCAAGTGGGAAGGCAGCAGCTGTACCTGACAACCGATAACTCGAGAAAAGTCAGGCTTTCTCCCCATTAGCAGTGTTAATCTTGTTGGAATAGGGAGTGCAGGACCAACGCCAAGGGCAGATCTGCATAGTATCAACTTTAACCACTCAACAGGACTCAGGTTGAAGTCAGGATTTTCTGTGTTGGGGTGTGCTGATAAATGTTTAATAACCAGATCTCTGGGGGGAAAAAAGGGTATCCATAACACATTTTAAAGTTTAATCTTCATTATTAACATTTTCTTCAGCACTTTCTTAAGTCTAGATAATAAACAAAGCAATAAATCAAGCCTTTATTTGTAGCATTTGCTGTTTTCCAAGGTGTACATTTTCACACTGAAGATTTAACAGTTGGCTCTACGCAACTAACTCTCAGCTAGTTCCAGCATGCCACTGCTTCTATGTTATCAGTAAAAGTCAATCAACAAGCAATTATTAAGCACTTACTGTGTGCTAGTTGCTGTGCTAGGCCCTGAGGATATGGATACAAAGAATGAAACTGTCTCTATCCACAGAGTTTCATTCTAATGGAGGAGACAAGTGCCTATAGAAGTATATACAGAATAGCTATAAAGTAAATAAGTATAAGTACATACAGAGAAGTTAAATACAAGGTAGCTTGGGAGGAAGAGCAATATCTATTGGAAGGATCAGGAGAGGCTTCATGTAGAAGACTAAGCCCTTCTTGAAGGGAGAGAGGGATTCAGTGAGGCAGAGGTGAGGAGGAGGTGCATTCTAGGCATGGAGGATGACCTTTGCAAAGTCACAGGGATGGGACATAGAGTGCTGTGTATGAATGACAGAGAGAAGGCCACTTTGGCTGGACTGCAGAATGTGGGAGGGCAGGTTATGAGCCTAGAAAAATAGGTAGGGAACAGAATGTGTAGGGCTTCTAAAGGTAATCAAAGGAACTGTACATTTTATCCTAGAGGCAATATGGAAGTCATTATGAGACAGTGCAGGAGTGACATGGTCAGATCTCTACAGGGATACCTCATTTTATTGTGCTTTGATTTATTGTACTTCACAAATACTGCTGGGGGAGGGGGGGAATTAAACCAATTGAAAATTTGTGGTAACCCAGCATTGAGCAAGTCTTCGGGCATCACTTTTCCAGCAGCTCACATTGTGTCTCTGTGTCACATTTTGGTAATTTTCATAATATTTCAAACTTTTTCATTATTATTATATGGGATGTGGTGATCTGGGATCAGTGATCTTTGATCATTATTTTGGAGCACTGAGGACTGCACCCATATAAGATGACAAACTTAATCAATGAACGTTGTGTGTGTTCTGACTGTTCCATCCACCAGCCATTCCCCTTCTCTCTCTCTCTCTCTCTCTCTCTCTCTCTCTCTCTCTCTCTCTCTCTCTCTCTCTCTCTGTCTCTCTCTCTCTCTCTCTGTCTCTCTCTCTGTCTCTCTCCTCAGGCCTTCCTATTACCTGAGATACCACAACATTGAAATTAGGCCAGTTAATAACCCTACAATGTCCTCTATGTGTTCAGATGAAAGGAAGAATCAATTGATGAGGCAAACTTCATTGTTGTCTCATTTTAAGAAATTGCCCCAGTCACCCCAACCTTCAGTAACCACCATCCTGATCAATCAGCAGCCATCAACATCAAGGCATGACCCTCCATAGTAAAAAGATTACCACTCACTGAAGGCTCAGATGATGGTTAGCATTTTTTAGCAAGGAAGTATTTTTTGTTGTTGTTGTTGTTTTTTAATTTTTTTAAATATAAATTTATTTATTTTTAGTTTTCAACATTCACTTCCACAAGTTTTTGAGTTTCAAATTTCTCACCCCTCCCCCTACCCCAAGATGGCATGCATTCTGAATACCCCTTCCCCTAGTCTGTCCTCTCTTCTATCTCCCCCCCTCCCTTCTCTTATCCCCTTCCCCTTCTATTTTCCTGTAGAGCAGGATAGACTTCTGTACCCCATTTCCTGTATTTCTTATTTCCCAGTTGCATGTGAAAACATTTTTTTTTAAAACATGTGTTTTTAAAACTTTGAGTTCCAAATTTTCTCCCTTCCTCCCTCCCTACCCACCCTTATTGAAAAGACAAGCAACTCAATATAGGTTGTACATGTATAGTTATGCAAAACACTTCCATAGTAGACATGTCGTGAAAAACTAACTCTATTTCCCTTAATCCTATCCTGCCCTCCCATTTATTCTATTCTTTCTTTTGACCCTGTCCCTCCTCAGAAGTATTTGCTTCTGATTACCCTCTTTCCCAATGTGCCCTCCTCTCTATCATCCCCCTGCTCTCTTGTCCTCTTCTCCCCCTATTTTCCTGTAGGGTAAGACAGATTAAGGAAGTATTTTTAAATTACGTATGTACTTTGTTCTTTTTAGATATAATACTATTGCACACTTAATAGGTTAAAGTATAGTGTAAACATAACTTTTATATGCATTGGGAAGCCAAAAAAATCGTGTAACTGGCTTTATTGCAGTATTTGCTTTATTGCCATGGTGTGGAATGGAACCCACAATATCTCTAAGGTATGCCTATCTGGAAGAAAATAATTTTGGCAGTAGTGCAGAAGACAGAATGGTGGGACGACCGAGGCAAGGAGAACAGGAATGAGGCTGTTACAATAATCTCGGGAGAGGTGATGAGTTCCTGAACCAGGGTGGTGGTAGCTCAATGTGTAGACAGAAGAGGTCAGATGTGAGAGTTGCTATGGAAGTAGAAAAGGCAAGATTTGTTAATTAATTGGATATGTGGGGTGAGGGAGTTGAGGGTAACCCTGAGGTTGTGAAACTAGGAGACTGGAAGAATGGTTTTGCCTTTGACAGAAATAGGCAAGTTTGGGAGAGGAGTTTGGGGAGAATGATAGCAAGTTTGGTTTTAGATAGCCAAGTTTGAGATGTCTCTGGGACACCCCATTTGAAATGTCCAAGAGGCATTTGGTAATGTGAGAATGAAGCTCAGGGGAAAGACTGAAGCTAGATATAGAGATATTGTGAGTCATTCATAGAGAAGGTAATTAAATTAGTAGGAGCTAATGATGTAGTTGAGAAAAAGTGTAGAGGGAGAAGAGTAGCAGGCGTAGAACAGAGCCTTAGGGGACATCCAGTTAGAGGCACAATCTGGGAGATTGAGGAGATTGAAAAGAAGTGGTTAGACACATAGGAGACCTAAGAGAAAGTAGGGTTTTGAAAGTAGTGTTATGTGGACAGGCTAAGTGGTTCAAATCTAGCCTCAGACACTTGCTAGCTTTGTGACCCTGGGCAAGTCACTTACCACTGTTTGCCTCAGTTTCCTCATCTGTAAAGTGAGCAAGAGAAGGCAATAGCAAACCACTCTAGGATTTATGTCAAGAAAACCCCAAATGGGGTCACGAAAAGTCAGACATGGGCATATTTGGAGGCAGTAGGGAAGAAACTAGTAAATAGAAAAAGGTTGAAGATTCAAGAGAGAGAGAAGAATCTACTACAGGAGAAAGGGATGCAAAATGACTGAGTGGGTGGCATTTCCTAAGGCAAGTGCTCATCCAATTGATTTGGGTCCTCTTCCATGACTGTGGCTTCCATTACTAGCTTATCGGAATGTTACAAATAATCATAGCTCTCAACCTTCTAAGCCCAGTCTTTTCTTCGTCTCAGGTCTGGTTTTTATGTTTATGCCAAACTTCTTGAAGCTAGAAATTGGACCTTGGCAAAGAAGCTGAAGCCGGATGGCTACATCAGTGCTGATGTCATCACTGCCCAGAGCTGTAAGTAGGGAGAGGCAACTGGGAAGTTGCTTAAAGGCATAAAATATGTCCTGCATAAGGAGAACATAGTTCTTCCCCTAATGATCCTTCAGAACTTTATCAAACTGTTGACTGCACCAACTGTCCAACTGTATCCATAGATTGACTGCCTCTGCCTCCTGGACTGTCCCTGGGCTGCCACTCCAGCTGTTTTAATGAGAAACGGGTCCATTGACTAGTCTAACAGACTGCAGGCTCTAACTTGCAGAACTGGAGGGTGAAGGGAGACTTCAGCTGCCCTTTGCCTCTCTGCAGCCCACCTTCCCTGCTACCTTCCCTCCTCGTCTGGCCTCTATGCTAGGGATTGGGCCTAAAAGTTGTCAGCTGGAACTCCAGGGTAGGGCAGAACTTTCCAGGGGATAGGCCCCCCTTGCCCAGTTTGACTACCTATACATAACCTGGATCAACTGGCAAAAAACCCAGCCCCTCCCTGTATCCCTGCTGACCACCCTTCCTACTCCCTCCTCTGGAAGCAGCTTCCCCAGGGGCACTCCCTCCCCTCCCCCATCTCCATCCCCACTTTTCTGGAGTCTCTTACTGCATGTGACTCCCTTCTCATTCTGAGTTTGTCCTGTGCACTAAAGTAACCCCTAAAGTTGTGCTTGTTCTCTTTGTGGATTCTCAATTCAGAGAAGGCCTCATAGGATCACAGACTTAGGGTCTGAAGAGATCATCCAGCCCAGGGATTCTTAACCTTTTTTTCCATCAATCTATCTATTGGGCACTCTGGTGAAGTCTATGGACCTTTCCTCAGAATACTGTTTATAAATGCATTAAATAAAATACACAGGATTACAAAGGAAACCAATTACATTGAAATATAATTATATATTTTTGAAGTTCATGGATCTCAGGTTAAGAGGCCCTGATCTAGTCCAACTTTCTCATTTTACAGAAGAGGAAACTGAGGCCCAGAACAGTTGAGTGACTTTGCCCAAGTTTATACAGGAAATAAGTGGCTGAGATTCTTCATAATTTTTTATAATTAAATATAATCTATGTATTTATATAATTTTAATAATTTTATTCTTTTTTAATTCTCCCTATCACCTCCATAACCTGGTTCAGATTCTAAGCTGACATTTATGGGGAAGATAAAAAAAGAATTAATTCAAAGCATTATCCAAATGTCATTCTTCTATTCATGAAGAATCAGAGCCTGCTATGCACCACCCCAGGAGCCTCTTTTTGGAAGCTTACCCAGTCTCAAACACAAGCAAGCCATAGATGTGCAAATTCCACTCCACAGATTCCTTTTCTCCAAGACCCCATGCATGCTCTCATAATTTCCTTTTAAAAGAGAGGGGAAAAAAAAAGATCTGAAATAGGTTTCAGGAAATATTTTCTACCCCCTTCTGACCAGCCAAAGGGAGGTCTAGAGAGACTGTAACCTAGCATCTCAAATACACTGGAAATGGTTTTCAGATTCTGAAATATAAGGAGGAATAAAGCAATTTCCAAGAAAATGGTTTTGGAAAACTTCCTGCGAACTAGAGGGTTTTTTTCCCCTTAAATAATGGTAAGCACAGACCTTTATTATTTTTTTTCCCCCAATACAGGACACTTCCATACAAGTACCCTGCCACCCATGCCCAGGAACTTCCCCCCAGTTTTGCATTCCCCAGTGCCTGCTCCCATGCTCTCTGAGTCTTTAAAGCTGGGTTTCTTAACCCTTTCTGTGTCATGAATCCCTTTTGAAGTTTGATGAAGTTTTGGACCCCTTCTCTGAATAATGTTTTTGAATGAAAAGTGTAATATAAAATAAAATACATAGGAATATATACAAAGGAAATCAATTACATTGAAATAAAGATGTAAATTTTTTTTTCCCATCTAAGTTCACACCACCATCTTGAAATCTCTGCATGGATCAGTTGGGAGTCCCTGTTTTATTTGTATCATTATTATTTATTGGCAATGATCAAAGTCAAAGTGGTTAATAACTGCTTTGTATAATTTTTGGTTGCTTGTATTTTGTAAGATTTGAGGGTTAGATTTTTTTCTAAAAACTGGCAAGCACAGCCTTGGATTTATTACGTGTTTGATTTTGAATTAATTTTTGGTTGCTGTGCCTTCAGAAACCTTTTAGTGTTGCCAAAGTTTTTGCAACCCCATATGGGGCTGCAATCCACAGTTTAAGAAGCGCTGGATTAGATCACCAAGCAAAATAGTGTGGAGAGACAAGAGAAGAGAGCCCAAGACAGAGCCTTGGGGGACACCCCTAGTTAGGAGGTGTGATCTAGATGAAGATCCAGCAAAAGAGACTGAGAAGTCTGGGAAGAAGCTTTTAGACCCAGAGGACTATTATTTCTTAATGTGACTCAGATCTATGAGACTCTCTCCTCATTGGTGGGTATCAATGCCCTGCACCTGCGTAAGGGGCAAGGTGGAAATGGGGAGAGCAAAATATAGGAGAACTCCATTCTTTTTAGAATTTTTTTGGGCTTAGAAGCTTTGGAGCTGTGATCAGCCAGGAAGATTTGACTAGAAGTTTAAAGTTTAATTCTGCAGGGATCAGGCTGGAGTATTTTCAAGAACCTGAGACCTAGAAACAGGGTTCTACACCTGTTTACCAAAGAACCATGTGCAAGATACATCTGTTACTTGATGATTCTAGGTTATATACTTGTGACCTGTAAGGTGATTAAGTCAATTAGTGGGCCTAAGGGGAAATCTCTTTTCAGGAAAAAGGAGTCTAAAGCAGATGTGAGCTGAAGCTAGCTTGAATCAGTTCCAGAGAGCTGATTGTTCAATTTTCAGCATCACCGTTTATACCCTGGGAATCAGCAAAAGCTACAAATCACAATTTGATTCGTTGTTTTGCGATTGTTGACTTAAAAAAGTGATGAGGAAAAATGTTAATGCAGATTAAATGTTAAAGTTAAAGTGTGTCCCCCTACATTTTAAAAAAAATTTTAATTTTGGAGGCAATGGGGGTTAAGTGACTTGCCTAGGGTAACACAGCTAGGTAGTAAGTGTCTAAGGTCAGATTTGAACTCAGGTCCTCCTGACTCTAGGGCTGGTGGCTCTATCCACTGTGCCACCTAGCTGCCCCCTACATTTTTTCTCAGAAAGCCAATTGTTAAACATTTTTTAGCACACTTCTAAAAATTTCAGTGTGTTTAACCAAAAGCTGCGCTAAGTCAGACACTAAATTCACTTACAGAAATGATAAGTCCAAGTGGCTAAGATGGGACAGCAAGCTAGGAGTCAGAGAAGGGGCTTCAAGCTATGTAGGTCTATATGGAGACTATTAAAAACATTATTAGAAATACTGGAAAGTTCAATTCAATTCAGTTAAATTCAATTCAGTGAAACAAACATTAAGTGGTGGCCAAATAAAAAGCATCATGTTAGGTGCTGGCAGAACAAAAAGAAAAAAGAAAAAATATCTCCTGACCTCAAAGAGCTTATAGTATAGCAGAAGAATAAAATAAAAACCCAGAAAATTATATACAAAGTAATTTGGGGAGGAAGAGAAATTTAACAAATGGAGGGTTAGGGAAGGCTTTGGGATTGTAGCTGAGCTGAGCCTAGTAGGAAGATGAAGCTTATGAATGGCTGAGATGATAGAGGAGTACATCCCAGGAATGGCTTGGGCAAATGCTCAGAGGTGGTAGATGGGACATAAAGTCTGGTGAATAGCTTGATAGCCTAGTTTAGCTGAAAAGTAGAGTAATGCATTGTTGTTGTATGTGTGTGTTGAAAAGGCAGTTAGAGCAAGATTATCAAGGGCCTTAAATACTAGACTGAGGATGTTGTCTTTTATTTTATAGGGAATAGGGAGCCACTAAAGATTTTTTTATTTAAGGAGGGTAGTCACAAAGTCATACTTAAGTCTTATCTAAATTATTTTGTCTGTATGTGGAGGCTAGTTTGGCAAGGGTTGAAACTGGAAGCTTGGAGACTGAAGAGGTGATTGCAATAGTCCAGGTGAGAGGTGATGAGGACTTATACTTAGTGGCCCAAGGGAGTGAAGAGGATATCAAAATGAAAGATGCAAAACCAACAAAACCTGGCAACTTATTGCATATGGCAGATGAGAGGGAGAGTGCAAGGATCACTTGAAGTTATGAATTTGGAGTGAAAGTGAAATAGGGAAATTTGGAGAGGGACATACTTCTGCCTTCAGAAGTGGAATGAGGTACAAGGATGGAGAGCAAGTGTTAGCTGTAGCTTATTTTTATCTTCCCAATTTAATTTTTAACTTGGCTTTTAATCTAATCCTCCCTCATGCCTCTTTTCCTCCTTCCCAGTCACTCTAGCTTTTTTTTTTATCCAAGAAAACCAGTCAGATGAAAGGACAATGCTCTCTCTCCCCATCTCCCCATCCCCCCATCCCTCCAAGGCATTCCAGTTCTCTGAGGAGGGGAAAGAGTCTGTCATTCATTGAGGTCAAGTCTGCATTCTTGAAGAGTTCATCACATTCCATCATTCATTCCAACTGTAGAGAGAAGGAAACTGAAACACTCAGAAACTCGGGCTTAGAAGATGAAGACAGGATTAAATGTCACAAGTTCCACATTTTTCCATTCAGCAGCTAACCCTTGAAGATAGAGTGAGTCTCCATTCCTAGCATATGGGGGGCACCTATTAGATAAACTTTCATCAGAGCAATGTCCACATCTCCTCTCTTCCAAAGTATGTGTCTGCCTATTCTTCCTCACCTCCTCCCTTCCAATGAGCATGAATCTATCACTCTGCTGCTGTGGCTGTTGTTTGTCCTTCAGTCTCGAAGACACTAGACACTGAGGGATAGCCAAGACCAGGGTTGTAACTAAGGTCGGGGAACTGGAGCTTTGCCTCAGAGCACCAAAACTGAAAGGGTGCTGACAGCATTTGTACTCATTCAGCAGATAAAAACAACTGAATTTGGGATTAAATTAGCTAGGTAATGAATTAAAAATAGACAGCTATGAGATGCTGTGCTGTATTCATCACCATGCTAGATTCCAGATGAA